TGCTGATTCCTGTCTGAGCTAGTGACAAAGGGGCCCGCTGATGTGCCCGAAAGGTCAACGTACTGGGACTGATAGAGAGTGCATTTGAGTGAGTTTCAAACCTCAGGAGTTTCCATAGCCTTTCTCTTACATGAGTGATTTTGTGTCTGAAGCCAAGTCCTGCTGTGATGGCAGCCATGGCAACGGGGAAGGAGAAGGGAAAAGAACTGCCCTTTCAAACTAGCTGGTCCCAAGTGTTAGATGTGCTTTTTTGTTAAATGTTCAGCCAAGACAGCAGTTAGTTTAAATGACAGACACTATCAACCATCCAACCAGTCTTCCAGTCTCAATGATAATTCATCCTATGAGACTTTCTGAGTGCAAAAAGTGATGGTTCTTTCTAAGGCTGGGGAGATGCAGGCCACGGCAGGTGCCCACGGGGGCATCACCTCTGGGTGAGTTGTGACTCATGGCAGTAGTCCCAAAATTGCAACCCCAGTTATGTCTTGGTCCAGAAAGCCAGAGTAAGGGGTTAAAAGGCACTTTTGATTTTCCACCAGATAATTAACCCCCTCCCCCCAACGCTGTGTATTGACTATGACACTGCAGTATTTTTAATTTACTCCCCTTCTCTTACTCATGTTTTGGATTGGCAAGGATTCTTTTGTCTGCTGAGAATAAAAACTTCATTAATTTATAGACACAGTGCTTCCCACAACATGCACTAATCACCAGAAGAAAGATATAATGGTTTCAAATACACATCTAACCTCCATTACTTTCCATACTTGGAAAAAAAATGTGATCAGCAGGCCAAGCACACTCATAACCACAGGTGGTTGAAGTGAAAACCCAGCTAGAAGTTTATCAGCCTTTAAAGACCTATGGGCATTCACTGCTTGTGTTTTAATTGATTTACCTTTAACTGTCCTGTACAGAAGACTCTGAGCTCCACTTCCCCCTTTGTAAAGGCAAGCACATATTTATCCAGGGAAACAAGTAAAGTACTTGCTTAAATCTAACCATGTGTTTAAGACTAATTTTTAAATAAATTTAAGGAGAAAGTTAACAGGTTTTAGGGTCTTTTTGGTTTTGGTTTTTTTTTTCTTTTTTTTCCCTCTTTTCCTTTTTCCTGAACAGGAAGTTATGCCAAGTTTTGAGGAGACTCAATACTATTTTAAACTAATGTATTGCAACTATAGCATGTGCCTGAGCTTCTCAAAAAGAGTTATAGTCTTCGTGTAAAACACCTAGCTCCCTGTGAAGAATGTAATATTTCCGTATCATAAGCAGTCACACTTTCAAGACTTGAAAGTGTCTTTTGAAGGACTGCTTCTGAGATTTATCTGTGTCAATTTAGGAGAAAAATCAGTTGATTTTCTCATAAATCACAGGTTCAGGTATGCCTCTGAAGGTCAGGAAGCCAAGAGCTATCTTTCTTATTTGATTGTAGAACAAACTACAGGTCTAATCAACTTCTGAACAGAGTTAGGGCAGGCTAAAACTGTATAGCACAGCCTAAGTTAAGACTATAGTATTTTTTTGCCACTCTGTATCTCCAGAGGGTTCACTGTGGCAGTGACCTGGCCCCTACTGCCTGTCCTGGGTCAAACACCAGTTACCCAGGACGATGATGCTCAGTCTGTCAGGAGTGCCCTGCGTGCCAAGGATGTGCACGTTGAGGGAGAGTACGGGAACGCATGTGTGTGTGATGGCATTTGGATCTCCAGCAAGCACACAGCACACATCTTTGCGCATTAGCAGCCTTCCACAGAAATGTTTACTGAGCTCGCTCTGTGTAAACAGTCTGACATCTGTTTGTATGAGAAAAGTAAAGCTTTGCTAAAAGGCTAGATTAACCTTTGAGGCAAATTTAGAAGAAAATTTGAAGGAGAAATCTGCACACAGATTTTCTACATTATGAATGCTAACAGTAGGCAAATAGCTTCTTACCACATTTTGTCCCTAAAGCCATAGCGGAGTTTCTGTGATCTAGCTTTAATAAAATAGAAGTTGAAGCACATGTTCTGCAACTTCTTGGGGTGGTTTTCTTAGTTTATTTTTATAATTTTTTTGCAGTCTTTGAAGAGAACAGCCTATATAAATGCATAGGCACACATAGACTATTACAGGATCAGGCCACATAAAGACAGTATATAGCTATTAATTTTGTTTGATTATTGCCACAAAATTCTTATAGTACCAGACTTTCTAGTATTTAGACCCAGGTTAGTTCCATAGTGTTAAGAACTTGAACTCCTTCTGAGCAAACTCAGTTTGCACATCTTGAACCATAACATTGGGAGATATCATTTTTAGAAGGGAAAAAAAAAATGTTTTCAAATGCTTGTACTTAAATTCATAATTTCATCTGTGGCTGCCTATATAAATGACTGGGTCTGTGGAAGTGCTGAACAATCATTCCTACTAGAAAAAGTAAGGGTATTTTCAGGTTAAAATGTTAATGCCTTGTTAATTTGGGGGTCCAGAAATTGAGATTTTCAGGTTTTCTAACTTGACTTATCAGTGAAAATGAATTATTTGGTATTAGAGCCTAATTGGAGGCCTTCCTAGAAAATCCAAAGATCAGCAGAGTAATTGACTTTCTTTTCAAAGTACTTCAGTCTTACAAAAATACCGTATGTGGCAGAAGCACTGTGGTCGTATATAATGTGTAGCTTGATCTTTGCTTAGCCCATGCCTTACCATAATTTTTCCCATTACGATTATATTTTCTGCTTACTCTCTCCCTTCCTGCAGCAGGTTTCTCAAATAACACTGTACATTATTTTAGTACATGTCTTAGCAGTGTAACTTATTGTGATGACGATACCATGCTTTGCAAATGACTCTGTGCACCTGGAACTTTGGTTACGGACTTTTAGTTCCAGGGCTGGAACTGTAATGTCTCAGCAAGTCTTTAAACCCGGCTTTACAAATAGATGGTTATGCAGTGTCCCAGGCACACATTGCAGCTTCCTGAGGAAAGGAAAAGGGCAAAATCCAGACTAGATGGGAAGCATTTGACCCAGCAGGATGTCCCTGACATTTCACCCTTAGGTCATGGTTCAGAATGTGACTTCCAGGCAGAGTGACCTGTGGGGAGGGACAGGATCTCCTGTAGCACAGGAGCTGTCACCAGGTCATTTTGCTGCCAGTGGGAGTATGTTTCCTTGTAGTCTGGGGCCATTTTTTAAGGTCAGAAGTCAAATATGTAGTGCTTTTGTGTTTAGTGTTGCTCACGCAATTGATCGTGTTTGTTCCTGTGCGTGCAGGATTAGTCACCAAGATGAGGGAGAGTGTTTTAGTGGCTGGAGTTCATAAAAAAAGTAGGGACGTCATTTGTTCATTATGTCTTCAAGTGCTGAAATCTTCTGAAGCTTTAACCAGATATTTATTTTTCTATCCTAAAATTCCAATGTTATGTTATGTTATGTTATGTATATAATAGGTGTCAGCAAATGCAAAAGCAAATGCCTGGCTCCCTCCATTAGTTTTGATGCCCCATGTCTCTGAAAAATATTAGCCCTCCTACTTTAGGCTGCCCATCACTCTGAGTTTCCTGTGGCTCCAGATCTGCCAAGCTGCCACATCCCCTTGAAGGGGACAGAACAAACTGTATGGTCTGGAGCTAGATCACTTTTACTGCTCTCCTTCCTGCTCTGTTAATACTTGGGGGTAAATATTAATCCACTGATAGGCAGAACGACATTCCAGTTGCTTCTGCAGCAGTTCTCACGCTTTCCATATTCCTGCCCCATCATCTGGGCTGTGTCTTTCTGACAGAACCAGCTTACAACTAAATGATGGTTTTGTAGGTAAAAGAGTTGGGCAACTCTTGCACAGGACATCTTGCCAGGCACAAGACTGGGACCTGGTTGCCCCATTGGACCAAAGAGCTGTTTCCAATCCCCATTTTAGCCTGACTGAGAAGGTGTTTTTAAGCCTATCCAAGACTTAAGTTTCCATATATTTTCGAAGCTGGAGATTTCTGCATCATGATGGCAATTTTCTTTGTTACAAAGTAGATGTTACAAACATCTAGTCAGAAGCATCTTGTGTGGAAAAAAGGTCACAGATTCAGTGTCAGCCCTAAAATCTAAGAGTTGGATGAGAGCTGAGTAAGGAAGGTCTGAGTTTCAAGTAGTACCTTCTGTTAGAGGAGTGTAGTTCAGTGTTTGAATCATTAGATTGATGAGCAAGAGATCAAGAGAGGGGCAAAAGTAAGAGATTCATTCTGCAGCCTAGGAACTACTTAGAGCTCTCATGCTTTCACTCTTTTGTTTTATTATATAAGTCACTGGCTTCCCACCTCCTCCCCCCAATATCTTGAAATCCTTAAGACTAAGATTTTTGACAGTTTCCTGGGGAAAAAAAAGAACTCTGAACTGAGATATTACATGTGACGTTTCTGCTTTGACATGGATATACTGGGGGAGGTAGGAATTTAAATTTTACTTTTAGAATAAGAAGTTAGCTTTACCTTGAAAATAATAGTCATCATGTGTCTCCACAATGACATTGTATGACCAACATGTTCTTTTTTTCCTGTGGCTTCTTGGAAACTAAAAAATTGTTAAAAAAAAAAAAAGAAGAAGAAGAGAAATTTACTCTACAGCTGTGTTGGAGTTAAATGATTATTTTCTTAGTACAAGAGAAACAAAGTAATGTGTAACAATAATGCCAAAAAACCCAGAATGATCTTTTCAGTTTTCTAGTCAAATGATGAGGATGAAGAAGAAAACAATAAATAGAAAAAGAAAGTGAATGTGAATTCTCAGCAAATGTTCCTCATTTTCCTTTCTCCCCGACTCAATTTGTTCAGGGGGTGCAGCTAACCCATGATTAGTCCAGCTTTACATCTAACATTTTTTCACATGTTGATTAATGAGGGAAGACAGGCTTTGAAGCCACTTTCTTCTCCCAGACAGGTGCAGTGTTTTAACTGTGAAAGAGCTGACATGTGAATTATTTGTAAAGAGGGAGCTATCTAAACACATCATTAGCAAAGGACAAAAGTCATTGACCTAACCTGGTGCCACAGCACTTTCAGATCCTTGGTTGTTTTCCAACTTACTGATTGCTTAAAGATTTGCCATTATTGTTGACAGTGCCTACAATGCCTATTTTTTCTCTATTGTTAAATTCAAGTTGTGAAAAGTCAAGTGTTTGATTTGCATGGAGATCTTTTCCCTTCGTCAGGTATTGCCAGTATCTATGGCATGTGCCATACTTCAGGTAATGTAATTTTAGGCAGACTTTAACTGCTTAACATGAAGGATGAAAAGTACAACTTGCTGATAAAATATTGTCAAAAATCTGCTCCCACTCCACTAAGAAATGAAAGTTAATGTTAATCAGTCATGTCATTTTTGTGGCTTATAATTTGTTCCCTACTGAACAAAACTATGTCTGTTATGTTTAATTTTTATTGTATGCTCAAATTTAAGCACATGTCAGCAAACTTATATGAATTAAAGCCTTTGTGCTTCTGAATTGTTAAATCTTATTTATGAATATTTTAGGAGATCAACAGATTACAACATGGGAGGGAGAAAAATGCATCCATGGTTGAGCAAAACAAAATTATGTCCTTTATCTAACTAGTCTTGTCACTCTCCTCAAAATTTAATAAAATATGTTTTACATCTATAGGTCAGAAACCAAAGAGCACATTAAGCATTCAAGTGAAAGGTTAAAGATCTACTACCAAGTAATGAAATGCCAGGTGTTTATGAAACTCCAGAGCCCTGTGGGGAGAAAAGTAGAGGGGAAAGGCAGGAAGAGTTCTGAACCTGTGGGTAAAACAATATAAACAGGATACTAAAAAGAGAAGTGGGGGGGGGAACAGTAATGAAGTGTTGCTCAATAAGTGTGAAATCAGAGCCATAATTTCATCCTGCCAGAGGATAAGAATGGAATGAACAATGAAGGCACAGAGAAGGAAGAGGTGACAGTCACTGTAAATCAATATCCAAGGTTAACATAGGACACTCTGTAAGAACGCTGCTTCATTAAAAATAGGAGTCATGGGGGGCTGGGATTAAGGGACACAACTAATTTAGACACTGTTAGCTTTCTCTGCGGTATCCCAAAACAGAGGGGGGCGATTCCATCAGTTAACACATTTACGACTAGAAAGTGACGGCTGCTACACAAATGGTAAATAGTTATGAGTAGCAGGGTGCTGGACTTGGGGTCCAGTGATCTTTTCAAATCTAGATCTGCCATTATTCTGGCTTCCTTTCACTGAAAATAGGCGAAGCACAAGTGAGGGCTCTTTGGGCTGGCACTCATCCAGCCGAAACCACTAGCTGGAGATCTTCCAAGTGTAGGAGGTACACAGCTGTCAAGGCGCTCTAGACTACAATACTGGCAAAGCCACCGATAGGCAGATGCTACTGCTGCAATTGCATCAAGCCCTGAGCTCAAAGAAATTGGTCCTGTTTTCACTCAGACAATGTGGGAACTCAGTCTTTGCGTAGTGCCTTATGAAACCCAAATGTCTGGAAATAAGCTGCTTCTTCCCATACTTTTCCCTAAATTTCTTAAACTTGGGTCTTCATGTTGAGATGAAGCCTAAGCAGAATAAAGAGGGGCTTGCTTGTCATATTGCAACAGCCAAGCTTCTGAGCACTTCTACCTGTCCCCTACTCCTGCTTCTCTCTGTGGGATACAGCACCACAAAGAAACACCTGCCCTAGACATATATCTGCTTGCAGCTACTTATTTGTGGATTCATTTATAAATTTTATGCTCCTGTTTTTACTGCAAGAATGGTTCATTTACTTGGAAGGCAATGTTAATAGCTGATAAAATTGAGGACTATTGCTTTATGCTGTAGGTTCTGGAGGTGGAAGAATGGTCTTTTCTAGTCTATCTCTCTGATATCTTCTGTGTATGTGCTTGTGGCTTCACCATGATTTCTCTGGTCCAAACTCAGTGTAGTAAATCAAAAGTAGCTTGTGGTCATGTAGCACCTGTTGTCAGGACAATCGATTTTCCAGGAATTTCCTGAAATTAATATGATTTCACCCTGCTAGTGCCAAGTAGGCATGCTTATATGCAATTTACAAACAGGAAAACTAAAGCTCAGGGTTGACCCAACGTAATCAGCTGGTAGCAGGAGCCAAAAAATACTTGGCCACAGAAACAGACAGCCAGAGCCACGTTCTGACCAGGCTTTTGTAGCAGTTGAATTCTTGTCTCTGCTGCTGTCAGATCAGTGGTAGTACACAGGCCTGTATCTATCCATCCATTCACATATCTATCTACTCATCTACCTATGTACTTACCTACCTACCTATTTAATCTACCTGTTACTGAAAATTGTTACAGCTGATACAATAACAAGCCAAAGTCTCTCTCTTTTTCTGTGTATTATATATATGTGTATTGTTTATTTTCTGGTGATCTTGAAATGGTCTCTCAAATTATTGAACAGTTCCAAAGTCATTGTCATGGAAACTTACAAAAGGGAAAAGTTAAAAGCCCTGGGAGGTCATCTCATCCTTGTTTTTGCTCCAAGAGACTTTATTATGATAAAGTACTAGTGAGTTAGAATCACAACAGATGGAGAATCATATGTATGTATACATTTTTTCCCATGGAGTAGAAGAGGGAATCTTTTGCAGATTTTTTACATAAAGAAATAGTGTGTAGCTTACCCGCTGTGAATAAATCTAATTTAATCATCTTTATGCCTCCCTGATCTTCATCCTCTGAAGTTTGCTGGAGGGTCAGATGTGCACCCTGGGAAATTTTCCAGATTCTGTGTTGATTCTCTCTGCTCCCACTCCTCCCTTCTTAAACCCACTCCTCAGCCATGTGCTGAAGTTTTTCTACATTATAGCAATGACAAAAGCAGTGCTGAGGCTATGTTTAAGGTCTTGCCTTTGCTTTGGGCTGAGCAAGCAGCACTCCAGGTCCTTTGGTGCTGTATGAGCTGCAGCCTCTGTGTGGCAGCAGAACATAGCAGGGGAGGTGACAGCTTTGAACTGGATCAGGATCATTTTCAAAGGAAATGCTGGTGTTGGACACTGGGAGTTAGGGTCTGCTTTCTACTTCCACCTCTGCTACTAATCTTTATATAGTCTTTGGCAAATCACTTACCTTCTATATTCTCCAGCTGCAAAAATACTTTGGTGCCCAGTGCCTTATCCTGTTGGGTTTTTTTTGAGTTTGTTGTTGTTGTTGTTTTGTTGTTGTTGTTTTTTGTTGTGTTTTTTTGTTGTTGTTTGTTTTTTGGGGGGGGTATGCATTTTTTAGACTTAGGTTATTTTGGAAAGAATTTTCAGATCACCAGATAGGTAACTTACCTGACAGTATTATTACTCTGAGGTGCACCTTATTTTTAACATGTGAGATTGTGCTGCATTTTTTCATATAATTCCATTTGTAAATGAAACAACAGTTCCATGCTAGATAGATTTCAGCTCTCATTTGCCATCTCATTCTTTCCTTTGCTTCTTTTTTCTTCCTTTTTTTTGCCCTCTAAGTTCTTCATCAATGATATTAATATAATAATTTTACTGAGTTGTATTTATCTAACCTCACTGGGTGCTTTTAATCACTTTTCAGTGAGTCAAAGCCAGGATCAACTTCCTTTTCTAAAATCCACTTGCACACTGAAATGCCAGGGGTACAGATGCTACAGTTAGGAGCAGAACTCAACTATTGGAAGGATCTCCTGGTATCTGTCCCAGCCATGCTGGCACCCGAGGGATGGGGCAAGCCATGTGCCAGCTGAGCCTTTTCGACCCCTCGGTATTGTGCTGACAGGCAGCCTGGTTTTGCCAGTGAAACTCATGATCTCATTCTTCTTTATGCAATCCCACAGGTGAAGGCTGATGATAGAATCATCAAAACGGAGCATGGGCTGCTCATCCGCAGCTTGCAAAGAAAGGATGCGGGAGCCTATTTCTGCAAAGCCCAGGAGCACACCTTTGTCCATACCATTGTGAAGCTGAATTTAAACGTCATTGAAAATGGGCAAATGGAAAGCACTCAGAAAACTGAGGACGAGGACGGCCGGATGAGGGATTTGCTGACTGAGTCCCGGCTGAGGTACAAGGACTACATCCAGCTGGTCAGCAGCCCCAGCTTTAGCCTGGATGAGTACTGTGAACAAATGTGGCACCGGGAGAAACGGCGGCAGCGGAACAAAGGTGGTGCCAAATGGAAGCATGTACAGGAGATGAAAAAAAAACGAAATCGAAGGCACCATGAGCCAGCCAGGCCACTGTCTACGTAGTCTGTAAATGCTATTTAAAGAAAGGACATTTTCCACAAAAAAAAAAAATACTGTGTTCTGGTTTTGTGCATCTTGCCTATGATTTAGTACTGCTTCTTATTGAAATGAGGTAACTCACCATCACTATTAATCTGTGTGAGACTGTACAATGGGATTCGATACCAAATGAGATGTTCCTTATTGGAGTACCACACACTAGGCAATAATTTCGAATGCTTTCATTAAAAGGAAAACTTGTACACTTTTAGCTAATTTCAGGGTAGCCTGAGGCTACGTGAGCTATGTTCTGTTCTTTCTGCATAATTCTCACATAGGATTTTAGTGTCCACATTCCCATATTAATATTTGCTGACACATTCCACCTTAGAGGTGGCTACATTTCAGGGGAGGGCAGATGTTCTTTGGCATCTTTCTGAATAAGAAGCATGGTAGAAATGTGTGACAGATCTGCAAAAATACCCACTAATTTACCCATTGGACTTGTATGCAGACACATGAGTGGGGTTTGCTAGCACAGAGAAGCGCAGCAAAAAATCAAATTAAGTATTGGCTTAGGGACAACATTCATTCTTCCCATACAAAAAGAGAAAGCATAATCATAGTTTAAGAGAGGAGAATTATCGAGCGTTACTCATTAGAGTTTGAGTAGCCACCAGTTTGCAGTCCATCTGCTGTAATGAAATGTTGACTCTAATCGAAACTGCCACCAAGATGCTCGGGAGTAAATTTCCTAAGTGGTCTGTGGGAGGTATGTGCACAAATCCTATTAGCAAATAATGGGATTCCTGCCTGCACCTCTCCATCTCTCCAAAGGTTTGACTCTGTTTCTCTGGCCCTTTGCTAGCTTTGTTTTATGCAGAGTAAAAGAAAAATAAAAGACAACAACAAAGCTAAAATGAAAGACGATGAGGGAAAATATTTGGTGACTGAGACCAGTGCTCTTGACACAGAGCTGACATTCCTCAGATGTATGTATTCTTTGGGATTTTCTCCCAAAGGACTTATGTATTTTTAAGTTGAAAAATTGCATTGTTGGAATGAATACTTTTATTATAATTAAATAAAACAAAAGATGTCCATGTGTAAATAAAACTTGTAAGTTAGAATTCTACATAATTTTGTAAAGTGTTCCTTGGTTTGCATTTTGGTTTTAATAGTGTAAATTTTTCCATGTAAGCAAGAAACACTGACCTCACTCTTGTCTATTTTACATCAATGTGATTTCATTGAATTTACTTCTGATATGCAGCAACAAACACAAGCTTTAAATCAGGCGTACTGTCTTTTCTCATGAGTCAAAACCCCCCTTCCCTCTCCTCTATCTAACCTCCCTCCGTTTTGCCTTTCACGCCTTTTTGAGTGTGAAATGACAAATTAGCCACTTCCTCACATGGAAGAGAGCTTTGATGGATACCAAAACGACAGACTTTACTTGTTTCTCATGCATTCTACAGATCTTAAGAGCAAAGTCTGTGGGAAACCCATGTAATTGGTGTGCACCTCATTAAGGAACCAAAAGCGTTAGCTCTGAAAGTTGTAGATTTGCCCTTGCCCATGCTGGTGTTTGTGTGCGCATTCAGTCCTTGATCAATAATTGTGTAGATCCAATTTGCATCGTTGTTCATTTCCTCTGTGTTGAAAGTCAGATATGGCTAAGTGTTTGTCGGATTTCAGAAAGGAATCTCAGCTTACCCACGATTCTTGTAAAACCCGAAAGCTGAGTTTGCATGTGTTGTATAAAAGCCAACGATACCATATGTCATTAATTTTAGATGCTTTTTTAATAGGAGATATATGAGTTAATTAGGAGATATTAGATAGCATGCGTACAATGCTTTAATAGTGTAAAGCACTGAGTGCTAAATATTATAAAAGATGTCTGTGGGAATGAGGGAATTTCTCAGCACAGAACCTTTAATCAGCAGAGGGACTGATGCTGAAGATACTAACCAGTCATGCAGTACTTTGAGCACATGCAGAGAATTTTTTGGCATTTTTGCTGCAAAATAACATAGGCCAGGCATTTCACAAGAGGCTCGTCATTCTGTGTACCTTGATTTTAAGGCCAATTAAGACTACTTAAAGGAGGTATGTTGTGGGATATTAAACTACTACATATAAAGCACCCTAAGACAGGGATACTCAGTATTCTGGGCTGGAAGGTTATGCTGTCACCAACCTGCCCTATTATTCCTTATTAGATTTTTATCAGTCCACAAAGTCCCATTTCTCTGACTTGGACATTAAGTAAATGAGTGGAACTGCACGAAGGCTATGAATAACAGGTGGTCTGCATTCACATGCACTGACAAAGGGCCTACTCTTCTCCCTGGTGGTGATGCAGTAGTTCAATTATTGCTTTTCAGGCAACATCACATGTTTGACTACTTCATAAACAAGCAAATCTATTCCTTCTTCCATATTGTTTGTCCTTCATGAAAACTAAATCTTCTGATTTATGTTTAGATATGACGGGGTATATTTTCAACAAATGAAACCCCCCCCACTGACTTTAGTAGAAGTCTGGGATGACTAAGGGTCTCAGTGCTGGGAGCAATAGATTTAAATGGTTGAATTAAAATGTTCTTACTATTAAAAACAACTTTCATTTCTTTTATTTCAAATGTTGCTGCAATGAGATTCTTCTCAAAGAAATGACCTCATCAGTACAGTGGTAGTGTAAAACCCCAAGTGAGATATAATGCCTCTTCCATCATGGGAAATAAATGCAAAATCCTCCAAACAAGTGTGCTGTATTGGGTTCATGCCACCCCAAGGAGCGTAGTTAATAATATTGCATAGATAAAAGTCTGTGTTTTGATATACTGGTAAGATGTAGGCTATAGCCAGCAGGACTAGCACAGCTCCTCATGCACAGCAGGTATTACACATGCAAGGAGGCCAGAAGACCTTGAAAACCAGAGAGCAAAAGGGACAGATCAGGGCTCGCTACAGAAAGTAAGAAAGGGTTTTGTTAGGCAGGACTCAGCAAAAAAAACCAGGAGTAGGAGCAGAAGGAGCGGTGGATCTTTCCACAACCCACAGTCCCAGAGAAGGATTCAGAGGATGAGCTATTCCAGAAACTTCAACAGGAGAGGATCTTCCTCTTTTCAAAAATTTTATCTTCAATATAATTTAGAATCTCAACTCTAAGCCTGCTTAAATTTCAAATCAATGATCTGGGGGTCAGTTGGGCTGCTGTGAGCTGTACTGTAAGCCACAACATGCTCATAGTTGAAATGAAACTGAGCCTTGCCTCCTTCGAAAGGTCAATAAAAATGAAGTTAAATGAAGTTTTGGTCCAGACTGGAAAAAGTTACCTCCACCTTAATAACTGTAGGTTTTAAACAGATCCCTTAGTGCATATGATACAACATAGATATTATCTATATGCATTCAATCAGCCATCTAATTATTAATACATTATCTTTCCCTTCAACAAAATCTTTCCATTGACCCTATTGCAGCAGAAGGTCAGTGTTGGACCAAACTGAAGTAGTTTTAAACAGATCCTTAGAATAACCAGCACAATGTGAGCTGTAGTTATAAAAATGCAGAAAACTGACATAATCTTTAAAGCCCAACAGGGCCTTAAACTTTGTAGCAATCTTGCAGTCAGGTAAAATAAAACAGAAAATGGGATTAGCAGAAAAAGGAATAAAGTATTAACACTTATTGTGATAAACTAGTTCCATGACTGGAAACTGTTTCAACGACAGGTGTGTTCATGCCATAAGCAAATACTTTTCTCTCTAAGTAGATAAACTTACATTGCTTGAGGTATCTAAGAACCTGAATACTTTCCAGTTCATATGTAGATTTTGGACCTGGTTCTTACATCATTCATAATGAAGTAATTAGGTGAAATGCAACAGATTTCCTCTGGTTCATATGCTTTTGAGATCAAAAATTCCCTACAGTTCAAATGCTATGAACAATTTAATCTAAAAATTATGAGTATTGATCTGCACTTAACATTTCAGATAATGAATAATTATTTGATATTATTACTCATTTTTATGCCTCATAATAATGTCTCAATATTTAATAACTAATGGCAATTGAGTTTGCTAATGTTTTGTCATATAAGCGTGTGTGTATAGGAGTGCATATACAAATGCATTATTTTCTGTTCATTTTGGAAGAGGGGTTAATTTACAAAAAACAAATGTGATTTCAAGAGTCAAGGCTCAGCTCAGCTTCCACTGACATGAGAGATAAAATCCTGCTGGAACTGAATCATAGCCTAAGCAGACTATAATCTATCTATAGCCTTGTAGTCAGAAACACAAATCTATACATTGTTCTATAGACTATATTGGCCTGGTTCTTGCACACAGTTGCAGATGAGATGTGAAGGTTTAAGGAATTACATCTGCATGAATGGAAAATTAAGCCCATGTGTCTCCCTAATATATTCTGCTACATTTTATAAACCTTAAATGGTCTCTATTGTAATATTTTACCATAGTGTTGATAATATTACCCTGAACTAGGCTCCTGTCGTTAGCTGAAGTGTGACATTTTTTGCAGTTGTAATCCAGATTTAGAGATTTGTAAAATAAGTTCATTACAGTAACAAAAAAGGAGACATGGGAAAATACTTTAATTATAAATTCTACAAGGCAGATTTGTAAGATTTTATTTCTACTTATCTAAATAGCAGTTATCCTAAAATGTTTTACAAACACCAGTGTTTGGGGTTTTTTTTGGTCAGGTAAGTATACATAGCAAATTTTAATCTTGAGTTTATCACTTGCCAATGTGTGACTTAAACATCTGGTCTGATAGCTATAGGAAGACTTAGTTTTCACTTGCTTATTTTCTTTCTTCTGATGGTTAAGTCCATTGTCTCCCGCCTTTGAGACTCTCTGGTCTGTCAGGTAACCTCACTTTATATGGAGGTATATTCTGGGGATCTGGCATTCCTTGACTTATAAACATCTCTACAAAGCCATAGTATCATAATCTGCCTTCAGACAATGACTTTCCTAAGCACTAGCTTTAGTATTCAGTTGCAGATGCAAACCAAACACTGTGAGGTAAACTGGAGACCAAATGGGGTTTTCATTTACAAAGGAAATTGTTGGGACTGTTCCTTAGAGCTCTCCTTTCTCTTTTTGCTTATGTGGTTGCTGCATATAATTCTCCAATTTAAAATCAAAGTCTTTTGTGCTTTAAAGCATAAGATTTTCCATGTGATGTTAAAAACATAACAACATTTCCAGGTGATTTTTTTTTTAGTAATATGGACTGTTTGTTAATAGTTTCAAACAGTAAGAGTCAAGGAAAACATCTGTCCAGCTATAGATGGTTGTGAT